TTGCCAGATCGCGTCGCGACTGAAATCGCCTGAGGTATGGACAAGGCATAAATCGGCAAATCCCGACCTGAAACTTTCTTTGCTTCTCTGGGTAATCCAACGCGCTGATTACAAAAATCCACCTAAGAGAGATCGAAATTGGCGACAGCGTTTTCCAAGGCCCCTGAGTGAATAAGGAAGAGTGGAACTGTCCTGCTATGGTTGGAGACGCAGTGTCGTTGCGAGACCATTACGGGCATACCATTGTAGCATGCCGCCGACGTGAGAGGAAAATCGCGCGCTCGTCCACGCTCGTGTAGAAAGGCTTGCGCGCACGGACTTGCTGGCAGTTTTCTTGGCGGGCCATGCTTTTTAATCTTGCTCTGATCTTATATTTGGGGCGTAAGTAGTCTGCCATATCAACCTTTCAAGACGTTCAGTTATGCCAGCCACTGCTTTCGCGTCTATCATTAACAGAAAATAAATGGAGCAGCTCATTGAATAGAGCGTAAAATGGTTTCCACCGATTATTTCGCCAATCTGCAAATCAATATGGATTGAAAATAGCTGTCGTACCGTATTGTTCCTGTCGTACAAACAGTTCCTAGCGGCAAGATCTCTGTGGATGACATTTGACTTGTGAATATATTCCATCCCCTGTGCTACATTGTCTACCATCAACAGCCTTTCTGACTTTGTTATTTTCGCACGTTTTCGTCGCAGGTAAACGTCGAGAGCGCCACCTAGGAAAATTTCAGTTTTTTATTTGTTAGGTGGATTTATGGATAGATAGGCCAGCCAACAGATATTTTTGTTCTCCTTACATAAGTTCGAAGAATATGGTTATATAAAGTTTGTCATTATTATGAATTATTGCGAGCGATGAATTGGTCTTCATTTCTGTCTTACTATCGAATCAGCTAAAGAAGAGAGCTAGTGAAAGCGAGACACTATTACGCATCATCGGAAGAATATGATAGTTAAAAGCGATGACTAGTTTTACACCCATCCGAAGCAAGTCGCATGGCCGCCTTGGCTGGGCCAGATACGCAATAACACATATTATATAATGGAAAACTAGTGTGATATTAAAGAACCTGTTGTACAAGATTGCTTGGTTTCAAATAAGTGGCGTCTTACCAGAAACGTATTCCAGCAATATATACAAAGGAT